CAGGCAGACAGACAGACAGACATTCATGCGAGGGATTTGTAGATGATGGGCGGGTCGTTCACCACAGGAAAAGTGCTGCATTTCGACCTAGAATGTCACTGATGTTATGCAAGGAAAGTCGGATGAGTTCATATACTTCTGCCATACACCTGTGGTGAGTATAGAGCGAGAAGCTTCAGGAATGCCTACAACTAGTACGAACAGACAGCAAATTCGAACATAATGCGAAACGATCCCATTCCAAACTGTCCGAGATCAGCACCGGGGTGCCCGAGGAGGTGCAGGCCAGAATGGGTTTGGCAGAAACACGAAGACTTGGGATTCAGGTAGCCATGACGCGCTGTTGCAGGTTTCTGTGGTGGGACTTGCTACGATGATCATTGCCCGCGACATAAACGCCTGCGAACAGGCACTTTGGCTGAGACGTGACGATACGTCTTCTCTCAACCCCTGTTGTTTGTCGAAGTGGCAGGCAATCCTGGAAAACCAGTACCACGATGGGGTTGTCGCCGGGGCCTCGAGCAAGCCTGAGGGCCTCCAGGAGTACGGTTGCAATTCATTCTTGGTGGAACTGCATTCTAGTCACACCTCGTCAGGGCAGGCTGTGAGGAACGCCCTTCGTGCAGTGGCTTCATTGTCTTTCAGCGAGTCTGGAACACATGAGGCATCATCAAGACAGCTGGAAGCAGTGGCAGCCGCCATATGTGCTACGAAGGGGTCGGCATCGTAATGCTTGCTTGGAGTACACATCTGTGGAGCAGATGGAACCGCGGCTGAGTCGACGTGAAGTTGGGCCACTGTCGTCCATGCGGTGATGTTCTCACTTTGTGGAGACTGGCAGCTTTTGTGCAAGCCACAAAGTCAGCAACTTCCTAAACCAGGATATCTGCAAGGCAATCGGGGACGCTGCGTTGTTTCCTTCTTGGGCAGGTCTCCCCATGGTCTGCCCATGTCACATGCAGAATAAGCAGGCAAAGAATCATATGTGACGGTTTCTTTTCAAGCAGCCCGAGTTTACGCTTTCCTGAAAGGTGCCGTGCTGTTGCTGTGACTGGTAGGGTTTGGCCCTTCGAAGTTTCCCCTGTTGGCTTGAAGTTCGCTCTTTAGCCTGACACACTCGATTTCGTGTACCGCAGAAAGTCAAGTGCCATCACCATGCCAACAACAAATCCGTGAATCAAGATGCATCGGATTCGTGATGTCTGTTGCCTAGGGTGACGTTATCAATTCGTGGCATCGCTGAGGGAATGCAGCAGCAAAGATGAGAGAGCGTGTGCCTGGGTTTCTTGATGTTGGGATCAGCTCGCATCTGGCAAGGTGGATGGGGACAAGCCATTCTTTCTGTGGCGGACTTTCGCTGATCTGGTTTCATCAAGGCTCAAAGAAGCCTGAGTGGCTCCATGACTCTCCTGTCCACTGCGCCCACAGGAAGCGCGACTTGCAGAAGGCCACGGCTCGTTTTCTGAACACGCTCTTCTGGAGGCAGCCGCACCTTGGCGATGCTTTTCTGGAGACTTGCAGATACCGTGCAGGCTTCCGCAAGACACAATCGAGCTCACCACGAAACCTCGCGGACAGAGTTCTGAAGAGTACTGGATGCCTGAAACTCACCGTCAGTTGAAGCTTCCTATCTGGCGAGCATGCAAACGTGAATCAGAGAAGCCTCAAATTCTTCGAAGAGCATAAGCTTGCTGTCGCGGTACTATAGGCTTCCCCGACTTCTCGATGCTCTCGGACATCCAGACGACGAGGTTAGGTGTGACGGTGTGACTGCCAGTGCAGGGCCTTGCATCGATAACCCTCGGAGGCTGTCGAGGACCTCCTGCAAGTGCTGTCGCCCCTCGCATCGTCCGTGCAAGCCGTGAAGAAGGAGGACTGCAATGCACCAGATACACCGAGTCTCTAGGCTTTACGATTTCGATATGGGTCTCAATCGAGAGACATTTTCTCTTGTGTCCTTTGGACCAGGACTTGGAGGAAGAGTTCGCTCATCTCGTGTTCGCCCCGCAGCCAGCTCCCCGGCAAGGTTTCGCAGTCCTGCTGGGAAAGCCCAGTTTGCAGCAAGGAACACCCTGCAGCGAGAAAGAGAAACTCCAGCACAACGGCTTCTCCGCGAGGCATAGGGCGCTTCAGCAGAGCATCTCGCTGTCCATAGACCCGAAATGGTTACAGCCATGCCCGGTCAACGTAGCGCAGCAGCCTAAGTCCGCCCGGGCACCTGAATTGGAATCGTGCAGTCGTGTGGGAACTGTGTAGCAGGCTGCTGGGATGATCAGCGATGGCGAGCGTGTGAGCGTCCCTCTGCCATGTCTTGCTGCACTGCAGCTAATTGAGCTTTTCGGGACGAAACATCCAGATGAACACCGCAGTGTGTTTCGTCATTCACGTCAAAGAGACACCGGTGTGCTCGCCGGTTTCGATGATTTCCGTTGCGTGTCCAGCTTGAGTGCATCGGATGATAGGCATTTGAGTCACTCGAATGTCTGCGGACCAGAAGTGTCAAAAGTCTCCCTAAGACTCCCTCCCCCTCTGTCTGTCTCCTGTCTCCTTCTTTGTCTGTGTCCTCGGTCTCTCCCTCTCCCTCTCCCTCTCC